GGACAAACACTGTGCAATAAATGACTCTCCAAATACAATCGACAAAACACAAGCAGTGCAGAGTTCACAAAAGCTGTGTATAAAAGATTAAGGACAGGAAAATATTTTGCAAAAGGTCAGTTCCTGCAGCACTGCAGCCTGAATAATGATGGCAAGTTTGGAGCCCAAATCAAATCCAAGCTTGATTGCACCTTTGGAAAGCAATTCTTTTCTCATTTGTATCGTTACACTGAAAGCACATGCTATTGCTGTGTATTATGTCAGCTTATCTATCAATTTAGAACAGTTTACAATACATCATACCCACATGTTTATTTTAAAAGACCAGTGTAGAATTTCAGTCTAATTAGGGTCATGTAAAATAGCACTGAGCTTTAATAGTGATGTGATTTTTATTTTAAATAATTAATCACGCAGTAGCTTCACAAAGAACCCTAATTATTTACTAATTTTGCCCTTGAAAACATCCATATGTTTTAAGCTGCATTACTCATTGAAAATGTCGGTCTAGCAGGGAAGTATTTTATTCAGTTTAACATGGCCCTCTACTGGCACAACACCCCCAAAACCTTATCAGTGTGATCCATTCAGTAAGATTCAGGGAGTCTGTTGTTTGTTCAAGCACGTTACCGCCAAGTCATTTTGTATCTGAGAAGATTCACCTAAGAGCTCAAGAAACTAGCAAAAAGAAAAATGACAGAGAAAAACAAGAGAAACTAGGTCAATATATTCTTCTATCCCAAAGTTTCTGCTCCAGGAGAACTGATTCCTTTACTCCAGATCCAAGTCTGGATATCAGAATCATACTGAAGATAAAAGGCAGACTGAACACTATTGGGTAAAACAATTCATTTAGAGCCAGCATTATTGTCAAGTAGAGCTGTACCCGACTCCAGCAGCAGGGATTTAGACAGGATGAATGCCCACATGTAATTTCAGAAAAACTATTTAGGTTTAAGTTGCTATTGAGCATGAAATGGGTTATCAAAATCTGGCCGAGGCTGTAAGAGGAACAACAAATTGCTAATTGCTAACAAAAATAATCTCTTATTCAAAATAATTTCTGCCACCATTTCCAGATACCCATAACGGCAATTCAAGACAACTGCAATCAAAATAAGGGAGATGGTGAAATTTGCGTTGATGTTTCATGCAGTAATTAAGTCTTCCCTATTTGTATGATGTCTGAATAACAAAGAAACAAAAGGAGATGGTAAACTGTTGAATTTAACAATTTAGATAAGGATGAATTATTATAATCAAGTTGTACTGTCAAAGGGATTAATTTGCTATACACATTTGATGCAACACAGAGTGTGTGTACCATCCAAAACTAGCCTGGCTCTGAAAATAAACCAAATTCGGTGCATCTCCACAAGCGCACACACGCAGGGGTGTGCATTCCCTACGGAACAAATAACAGTGGCATATGTTTGTGCCACTGCTATTTGTCTCTGGCCAACCAGGCTCCCTTTCTGGTGGTGCATACTACTGCTATGTGTGCCACAACACTTTTTTTTAGTGACGGGGGTGGGTTTTGACACCAGGATCTCCCAGTGCCAAAAATCCCCATCATGCTGCAAATTAGCAGCGCAGCAAACGTGGGGACATGCCCATTCTGTCCTTTCATGAAAAGCTTACCAAACATGCAGTTTAACAATAGCAGTTGTTCTCTGTGGCTAGATGCAGACTTCAAAAAGCCCAAGGCAGAACTGATCTAAATTACACGGTTTTTTGTAAATGGTGCAGTCTAGATCAGTAGTGAACAGAACACACATTCACCCTTTTGTGGGGCAGGGGGGGTCTTAGACCAGAGTCCATCATTTTTAAACCAGTCTGTTTGCGCCAAACTTCTGTTCTCTTACCAGTATAGACTGGTTTCCAATCACTTTTACTGGTATATGTATAATATCTGCACTGCCATGCATCAATACTAATATACCATTTTTCAGCAGCATAATGCTTATCCCTGTTTCATTATCCAAGCTGCTTTTTACAGGGCCCACATCATTTACAACCCGCAGACAGTTTTACTAACAATTTTCAGAACCGTCTGCTATAGTACAAACCATATTCACACGATTCACCTGAATGCCAGTCAAAGAAATCATGGCAAGATTTCTGAGTAATTTTCAGATAACAGCTATCCAGCTTCTAGCCCTGAAAAACACCTTGATTAATTTACGTAGACATCAGGAAATATCTTAAGTAATTGAGGTTTCTGCATACTACATGATTCACATCATTAGGCAAGTGTGGATCAGAGTATTGCAAATGTTATGGGTAATGTTCTATTTATATTATACATTTGTCCTATTGTATGCGATAAAAATGCATTTTAGATGCTCAAAATTTTGAAAGCTATATTGAGCAGCTTTGATTTCACAGGTCAAATCCTGAAGGTACTATCTTCTCCACTTTCCTCAGCAGTTGTACAGCAACTTGATGTCTCAGGCTCTGTGCTAGCAGAACTTAACTTTTTAACCAGTTCTGCTTCTATGCTTGGGCTAAGGTTTTACCCAGTTTTAATCCTACTCATCCCACTGTCCTTATTCTACTTCTTCTCAAATTGAGAAAGAGCTAGAAGAATATATTTTTCTAGCAACTGTGCCTTTATATACCATACTAAATTATATCAAGCTCCAGGTACTAGAACCTCAGGCATATTTGTAGGACCCCCATCCTACAGGCCTTATCAAAGCATATAGTGTTATCCTAATGCGTTTTAGTGAACCAAAAAAAAATGTAAAAAAAGGAAAATGAAAGAAATATGCAGAGAGTTATGGAGATAGTTTACATGATTCGAGGGTCTCATCTTGATCCTATTGAAATTGGATTTTTGCCATCAACTACAGTGGAAATAAAATCCAACCCCTATACCTCACCTAAGAGCAGATGGGCCTGCCTCAGCCCATTTAAACATCTATCCTCTAAACAGTTCCACATGAGTCATTTTGCATACAAGTAGTACTAGAGAAGTCAGAGAGTCTTTTCACATGCCTAGCATCCATTGTATGCATTTGTACAATTGGGACTTCACACTTAAAACTTGCTTAAGTGAGAGATGAATCAGGACCAATCCTTGTCTGAAATCTTATTTCTTTGTAATTATTTTGTGGAGGTTTGTAGAATGGCCTGGTAAATATAAACAGAATTAGCCTCTCAACCGATTATCCAGAAAGAAAAAAAAAAGTGATTTACCCAAAGCTGCATGGGAAGTCTGAGAGAGAAGCCAGATCTCCTGTGATCCAGTGCCTTCAATTTAAAACTATCCTTCCTCCCCATGAAAATGCTAAATTGCAATCCTGAATTATTAACCCTCCACCTTGTAGGAGGTCCTTTCAATTCAAACCAACTTGAAAGGAAAATCAAGGCTTCAGCATTTTGAAAGAACATCCTTTGTTTTGTTATCCAATTGCTAAAATAATTGTCGGCACCCATGGCATAGCACAAGGCAGGTGGTTTTAAAAAGTGTTTAAGTAAATGAACGTTGAATGGGATGGTCCCAGGTTGAACAGGTATCCTCTGATGGCCAATCCATACAATAGCCATAGGAGTGGAGTGTCTTCCACCCTGAGAAGGAATGGCAAGTCTGAACCTACATAGGAGTGATGGCATATAAGGCGGCATATGCAGTTGAAGTGAGGATCCACACTGGGTAGCATTTAGAATTAAAAAGTTCTTCAGATCCAGTGGGATTAGATGTGGTGTAGGCTGTTTTAGCCATATATGCTCGGGAATCTCTTCCTGTCTCCTACCTTAGGAAGCACACACGACTTCCACAACAAAAACACACAATTAAGTAGACAGTAGTAGTACTAACAATAATGGTAATAAAGTATCTAGAGCTCTTTATGCTCAGCATTATGATCAGATAGCTTTCTGAGGAGTAGGCAGTACATCTGACACTGTAGGTAATTTGAGGTGATCATGGGATGCTTCCCAAAGTATAGTACCAGGGAGCAGGAGATCTGGGATTTGTCTTCAGTTTTTCCAAACAGACTCACCCTTAGTGATTCACTTTTGTATGTTTGTAAAATGGGGACAAGGCGCTTGTCAATTGTGTTGGATTGGTGTGAGGCTAGGTGTGTGAGCGTTTGTAAAAAGTATGCTATGTTCCTCATAATGGAGAGCAAAAAATTACTAAAATGTATTATTAATAGCAATTACCAATGAGGTCCCTCTCAACAGTGCTATTTATCGTTTGCATGTTTTACTACACACCATTTCCTTAGCAAAAATAAATACATTTGTTCACATGAACAATACATAATTATTTACATTGTTCGTGTAAAAAAGAACAATGTAAAAATGTATTAACTGAAAGGTGTTAAGTTTCAAAGAAGACTATGATCTGCTTGCTTAAACATGTATGCTTCCAGAATTTGTACAGGGATTAGAAGTAAAAGAAACACACTCATTTTGCTTTAAAACTAAATATATGTAAGCAGTGAAAAAATGAAAAAAATTAAAAGAAAACTGGGTTAAATATTTAAATTAATTTTGATAGTCCAGAACTAAGAGCTACTTAGAAAACCACAATAAATAATTAGAATTAAGAACAGTTTCTCAGCCAGTTTGTGAAAAAAAATATTTCTGACATTTTTAGGGAGCCTGAAATTACACTTAGATTATACTACTATATTGAAAAATTAAGTTCAGCATAAACATAGGAAAACAAAATTCTGAATGAGCTTTTCATTTGTCCTGTTGTCCTCACTCAAAACACATTCAAATGTCTGACTTCAAATGAAAGCACCCCTAGGAGTTACATACTTACCGTTTGTGATTTCATTTTAATTAAAGCAGCAGTAACACTAAAATAAACATTTTTTTTTAAAGAAAATGACCTTTGCAAATAAGATAAAACACTGAAACAGCGAAAGTCTTACTTGCAGTTGTTCAGTGAAAACATGCCACAGTCCTAGAGAAATCAGAACCTTAAGTAGTCCTCGCAGTCCAAAAATTCTCTTGAGTTTAGCCAGGGTTTATTTACCAACCTTTAAAAATCTGTGGTTAGAAGAGCAGAGTTAGCTTGCTAGCCCATCCACAGCACTACTGAAGTCCTACAGTAACTGCAGACATGAAGTTTGCTGGTAGTTGTTTTTTCTGCTGTTAAGTAGTTTCTCTGTACTTGTAAATACAAGCTCTGTGGACAAAGTCCCAATGACATCACAGGCAGCTGCTTATTGTTGAGTCTTTATTAACTGACTGTCAAGAAAGAAAAGGGAAGGGGAAAGAAAAGTACAAACTATCTTCCCTGCAGCACAATCTGCATCTTAGTAGGAGTTCCAGTTCTACATAAGTAAATACTTCTATTTACCCAAACTATGTTTTCTTAGGATGAACAAACAGTGTTTGCTTGAAAAACAAAAAACTAAGTGTATTCTAACTAACTTCAAATGGAAAAGAGGGGCCCAGGAAAATAAAGCTTTAAATGTAGACATTACCTTTATCAGGATATACCCCTGCATTCTTCTAGCATATGTATGTGTGCATGTGTGTGTATATATAATAACTATATTTTTTCTTTATAGCTATCATTCTTCTAGCATAGGTGTGTGTGGGGGGGGTGTATAATAAATATATTTTTTCTTTACAGCTATTTTATGTTTATAAAGATATATGTAAAGGAAACTAGAGCTGAAATGTAGCAGTATTTGCAATTTAGAAAAATAACCTCCACAATCACTTCCATAGTACAGATGTCTTGTTTTCTTTGTCAGTTATAAAGTGATAAGACAGTTTAACTTCTAATGTCATTGACATATTTAAAGTATTGATCAAATCAGAGTTAATCCCTCATTTTTATAAGGTTAAAACATAAAGAGCAAGGGAGGGTCCATGCCAAAGGCAGTCACTCAGGCAATACTAGGTGGCAAGGACATAAAACGAAATCTCTTACTCCTGGAACAGTGGGCTCGAAACTAAGTGGTGTTTTAAAAGTGGTCCCAGAATAACAGCTTCTGGTTAGTTCCCACCAATCTAAGGAGTGCAAAGCCTCTAATCTGACCCTGTTGTTAGTCTCTGGAAATTTCTGCTATATACAGGAGAAATCTAGAACTGGACTTGAAGCTTGCACCTTGGCTCCTATTTCTCAGATGTTGACCTTCGCAGGCCAGAATTTCAGACACTGGCAAGGCACCCTACAAGAAGAGAGACTACTGCCTCCGCTCTATTATCTGCTTGCTCTTCAACATGGGTCTCAGGAAATACCCATTCCCATTTGCCTCCAAAAAAAATGCAGCTTGAGCCAGAGAAAACTGGAATAGAAAAGCCAAACTGAGGTAGTATTTTGTTTTCCAAATTCCTCAAGCTCTAGGAGTGACATTTTTTGTCAGCCTACATCCCCGCTCCTCTCAGAATCATAGAATCACAGAAAATGAGGGTTGAGAGGGACCTCAGGAGGTCACATCTAGTCCAACCCCCTGCTCAAAGCAGGACCAGCCCCAACTAGATCATCCCAGCCAAGGCTTTGTCTAGCCGGGTTTTGAAAACCTCCAAGGACAGAGATTCCACAACTTCTCTGGGTAACCTGTTCCTGTGCTTTACTACATTCCTAATGAGAAAGTTTTTCCTAATATCTAACTTAAACTTCCCTTGCTGCAACTTGAGACCACTCCTCTTTGTTCAGTCCTTTGCCACCACTGAGAACAGTCCAGCTCCAACCTCTTTGGAACCACCCTTCAGGTAGTTAAAGGCTGCTATTAAATCCCTCCTCCCGTCTTCTCTAAACTAAATAAGGCCAGTTCCCTCAGTCTCTCCTCACAAATGATGTGCCCCAGCCCCCTAACCATTTTTGTTGCCATCCACTGGACTCTCTCCAATTTGTCTTCATCCTTTTTGTAGTGGGGACCCCAAAACTGAACACAGTACTTCAGATGTGGCCTCACCAGTGCTTAGAGGGGAATAATCACTACCCTCAATCTGCTGACAGCACTTCTACCAATGCAGCCCAGGATGCCGTTAGCCTTCTTTGCAACAAGGACACACTGTTTGCTCTTATTCAGCATATTGTCCACTGTCACCCCCAGGGCCTTCTCTGCAGAGCTGCTGCCCAGCCAGTCAGCCCCCAGCCCATACTGATGCATGGGATTTTTCTGTCCTAAGTGCAGGACTTTGCACTTGTCTTTGTTGAACCTCATGATATTTATTTTGGTTCAATCCTCCAATTTATCAAGGTCTCTCTGAATCCTAGCTCTACTCTCCAGAATATCTACTACTCCATCCCATCTTCCAGGTTCAAGAAGATATTGAACAAAGCCGACCACAGGACTGACCCCTGGGGCACTCCACTTGTTACTGGCTGACAACTAGACATGGAGCCATTGATTTCTACCCTTTGAGCCTGATGATCCAGCCAGTTTTCTATCCACTTGACAAGCTAATCATCCAATCCATATGTCCTTAGCTTGCTTGCAAGAATGTTGTAGGAGACCACATCATATGCCCTGCTAAAATCAAGTTTTCATAATGCTCAAAATTCCTGGGTCAGATCCTTAGCCGGTATAAAGCAGTACACTTGCTCCGAGGTGAAAGAAGCTTGGTCAGTTTAAACTAGCTGAGGCTGTGAGTCTTGCCTATAACAGTCTCATTCTAAGAGGAAAAATAATCCATACTACCTGCTTTAATGATAGAAGGCCCGACCAATACTTTCCCCTTAACATATGGGCTAGGGGCAGAAGCTACACATAAAAACTGGCTTAAGTGATCAGAAATTGGTTGAAACCTGTAATAGAACATAAATTCAGTGCACGTAAACCAGTTTCAAAATGACCAAAACTAGTTTAAGATAAACCTGGTTGAATGTACTATCAGACTTAACTGATTTAGGTCAACCCGGTTTATGAAACTTCTGTCTCAGATCCCTTCTTGGCTCAAGTTAAATCACAGTCCCCCAGCATGCTTTGCAGCTCCTGTCAGGCTTTTCCCCACTACAGTGGAGGGGGTGGGGGCATGGGACAGCAGGCTCAGGCAGAGAGGGATTAAACCCCCTGCCTCCCCTCTCCCACCAGCAGGGACCCCATCCAGGATCTGCCCAGCATTTCCCCCTGCTCATGGCTCAGCTCAGCCCTCCTCCCAGCCAGGGGGAAATCCCACTGTGCCTTTCCAGCTGCCAGGGCTAGGGTTTCATTTGGGCAGCCCAGAAGCAAAGGCCAGATCGGAGGGCAAAATGGCCCCAAGCCCAGGTGGGGAGATGCACAAAGGGACTGCAGTAGCAATGGATCCATCCTGGAAATGAGCCCCACCAAGCAGAGGGACCCAGGCTGCGAGCGGGGGCAGGAAGCTCAAGTATATCCTCGCTAGCCCCGGGCAGAGCCAAGCTGAGCTGAACATGCAGCTGAGGGAGCAACTCCTGCCCAGCAGCCCCTTCTACCACCTGGAGAGTGACTGTGCTGAGCCACCAGCAGGGGGGAAAAGCTGGGCAGACCTTGGCTGGGGTCCCTGCAGGCCAGGGTGGGGGTTTGAGTCCCTCCCCAGTCATATTCATCAGGCTGGGGCCTGGCCACACCCCCTGCAACTCATCTTCCCTCCAGCCTGCAGGGAAGGCAGGGCTTATTCTAGTGCCCCCCAGCTTCTAGCCTGAGCCACTGCAGCCATATTGCTGCATATACCGGAATCAAAAGCGAGTGTCTATTCACTTCCTTGTCAGTTCAATCTATGCAGGTTAAACTCAACTGCAAAGATTGAATCAATTCAGGCTCAGGCTTTTTAAAGGTCTGTGCTTAGCCACTGCTTATAAATGAGTTTCATGCTTGCTACCTTGAGTCGTACCACCAAAGTCAATATAGAATGACTCATGCCAGTAAGCACGACACCTGATAAAGCATGTTGCAGAGTTTCTTCCCATAAAGGTGATTTAGAAGAAAACGATCTTCTGAAAGGAGAGAGAATTTTTGTAAAGCCTCCCTCAAGTTCTCCATGTGTATCCACATGTACCCCCTAGCATACTTGGGCACTCCTGTGATGTAAAATTCTACTCTTACTGGTGAGACTGCAATCCTGGCTCTATTAAAATCAGTAGCAAGAATCTTGTTAATTTTAGAGAAAGCAGGATTAGGAACCTGTTAAGGAATACTGGACAGTAACTTGAAAGAATAGCCACTGGGACAATTCATAAATGCTTTCCTGTCAGGAGTTCATAATCTGACCCATAAAACTGTTGAAATATTTTGAAGGCAAAACGAGGTACAAGAGTGATAAGTATTAACATGCCACATGTAATTATTAGTTGTATAAGGATTTCAACTCATAAAGCTACTTTAGTCCCCAGCCCTACAAGTAGGTGTAGTAGCGCAGAAATCCATTTAAGCAAATGCTAATAAGGCTCTGTATGTGCACACAGGTCTGTTAATCAAGGCCTTAGATAGTTTTAACAGAAATAGGCCCATCCATAATCTCAGTGGAAGGGATAGATTTAGCTTAAATCTGATGCTAATTTACAATGTGTTTGCTCCGAACAGGGTTAAGATTTGTTACTCAGCCCTGCCATTGCAAGGATTTATATGCATTAATTAACTGCAAAACACAGGTTAAATTCCTGCACACTTGATAACATAATCGGTTTGTAACCTGACATGAAAGGAGATGCACATAAAAAAAAAGAGTGGATCAGGGTTTCATAAATTAAAAGAGCTACTAATTTAAAAGAAAATGCCAAACACTTCATAAAACAAAGAAGACAGCACTTAAAGAAGATGCTGTTTGTTCCCAAGGAATATTTGCACTGTTTAGCTGAGATCTGACACATTTTAGATGCAATACTTACAACTTGCAAGGAAATTCTGATGGATTTCCAAGCCAAATACTGGCACACACAGCCAGAGCTGTTCCCCAACTAGATCAGAACAGGAGACACACTGGTTCAATTCTCCCTGCTGGGGACTATAGTTGACGCCACTAGCTTGGACATAGAGGCCTCCAACTCAGTGCCCCAAGTGACCAAAGACATTTGCAAAAGAGCTGAGAAACGAATCTAATCTCTTGATTCACCAGGCTATCCTTCCTAAACAGACTAGGAAAGACTGCTGTGTAATGATTGGAAGTATGCAGATTTCTGCTGTAGTGAGACAGGCTAGCTATCTTTCTAAAGAAGAGACCATTCAGAATTATTTTCCACAGCTTTTACCTTTTAAATTCTGTTCTGTTCACAATACACATCAAACTGCAGGTACACCTACAGCTTACATAGCCA